ATTTTCATCCCCGTCCCCGTCCCCGTCGGGTATCGGGTATACCCGTACCCGTACCTGTCAAATTTTTTATTTTTTATTTTTTTTTTAAAATATAATATTTTTAAATTATTTTTTTAATTATATTATAATTATAATTAAGTTATTTCTTTATCTCATATTATAATAAATAATCACACATTAAAAAATATTAAAATTCTTTAATATAATTAAATTGAAAGTGGATATTAAATTAAAAATGAGAACGGGGACGGGGACGGGTACGGGTACGGGTACGGGGCGGGTAAGTACATACCCGTACCCGTACCCGATTTAATATATCGGGTTTTACCCGTACCCGTACCCGGTCAAACAGGGTATTCCCTGTCAAAGTCGGGACGGGTTCGGGTATCACCCGCGGGTACGGGTATATTTACCATCCCTACGCCACACACACAACCACATAACCTATGTTCCACACGCACAAGCACAACAGCTTCCACACCATGTGACTGCCATCGCGCATTGCCATCGCATAACCACCATTATAATTGTTCGACGCATAACCCTTCTTGCACCACACACCACCCCCACGCAACCACCACTATTTGATGCACAACCCCTCCCACACCACGCACCTCCCTCGTGTGACCACCATTGTTACAATCCCTCTCGCACCACACATTATCCCTACGGGACCACCATTGTTCAGCGACGCAATGGTTCGTTAGACATTTTTTAAAATTAAGTGAGTCTACCCATTTAACCCACCAACCTATGATAGGAGTTAGACTTATTTTTTGTAAGCTCACTAGAAGGTGAGTCGGGTTGGATTAACCCACCTATTGGCCAACCCGTAGTGGGCTAGGTCAGGTGACCCATTTTGACAGCTCTACTAGAAAGATGCATGGTATTGTGAAAAATAGCTAGTTAGGTTGTAATTTATAGGGAACTAGTTAATGCATGTCAATGTCATGGTAAGTCCACACCCAAATTATGTTATACTTGACGGTGGTATTAAATTTTTATATTTTAAGTGGCGATATTCGAGAAATCAAATGATAAGAATTGGTACCTCAATTTAGTTGTCGATCTAACGGGTGCATAAGGTGTGAAAATGATCGGGTTTGTTTAAAAGGATCAAGTCACTTAGGCTGTTTAGATGTTGTAAAAGATCTTTGTAGGTGGATGTGTGACGACACATTAGTTAAAATACATGCATATGGTGTAGTGTGATTTGAGATTGTTCATATGCTTGGTTGAGAATGTGTTCAATGAAATTCGTGTGATGAAATATGAATGTTCATATGTAATTGAATTGCTTATTGCTATAAGGTTGTTGAAGCCATGTTGAGGTGATTTGTATTGTGGAATTGTTGTGAACCATGAGGTGCTTTATTTTTTTGGCTTACCTGTTGGTGTTGGTTAGTATAATTGTCTTTGCTTCTACATTAGATATATTTCATCTTTTGAAAATTTAGTTTATTTTTATATGTGTGTATGTGTAATTTTATATTATGTAATTAATGATGCAACTTTTATCATATATATGCATAGATATCTTTACTATGAGTCCAAGAACTATTTGTGTGTTAATCATAGGTAGTGATAGTTTTTCTACTACTAGTGATGATTTGTATGTGTAATGACCATGACAGATTGTTACACCACTTCGACTATAGGAGTTTTGCGATTCATTAAATATAAAAGTATTCATATTTGATTAACATATTCTCACTTGAGATCTTTCAAAATAACCACTCATTAATATTGTTTTTAATCTTTTCTTATACTAATCAAACAAATATTTAAGTTAAAATATCACACACATATTTAATATTAGGATATCATTTTATTTTTATATACTATTATAATTAAATTAAATCTTATTATTTATTTTGTTGCTTTTGTACACATTTATATTATTGTTCTAACTATCACAAAATCATCATAAATATAAAATCTAAGGATTGCCGGAAAAATATAAAAAGATTATATTGAAATTTTAAATAAATTTAAACAAAATTTAGCATAATTAAAGTTTACTATTTTATATTTGTCATCATTGAGTTTTGAATTTTTCACGTAAGTAAAGTGGAGGTAACATATACAATATCATAAATTTGAACGTCATAGTAATTTTTTTTATTGATAAAAAAATTATTCACATAATAAAATATATATATATATATCATTAAAAATTAAAAATAAATAAGAAGTATCAATGATAAATACATTATGTTCACTTATTGAGATTTGAGGGCCATATATAATAGCTATCCACTCATCAATAAGTGGATTTAAATTTGTCTTTTAATATATGAGAATAAAGCATGTGGATTAACCGATAATCAGTGTTTGAAGTTGAAATTTTAAATATATAATTGTGTTAAATATTAAAAAAAATGTGCCATAATAATTTTATTAATCCAAATAAAGTACTTTATTTTATAAAAGATACAGGGTAGCTTTTTTTAAAAAAAATTATCCTGAATTACATTATGATGACTAATAGAGAAAAAAGAAACTTAATTTTTAAAAGTTACAAATAAAATAAAGAGATAAATTGGAAAAATGATTGTGATTTGTTATTTAAAAAATATAAACGATTATTTATTTATTTATTAAACAATTGAGGATATTATAATAACAGTAGTAAAGATTAAAAATAATTATTTACTGTATATTTATTTTATAATAAGTATAGATTTGATAAAATAAAGAGACGAGGGTCATATTTTGGTCACGCTCTTAATAGAATAACGTAAAATGTCCGTGTTTTCCGAAAACATGCGTGCGACCTGTCATTTGAATGTGTCTGCACCAATTTTCCCACGAAAACAACGGAACGTACTTCTTTGTAAACGGAATTTGTTTGGGCGGTGTTGGCGTTTTTCCAAGTGTTGAAACTTGAATGACGCAACGCAGCAAGATAGCCATTATTTTGCACCAAACCCTAAACACAACGACACCGTGTCACATCATCACAATCCTCTGCCATATTCAATTCCATGCCCACAAACAAGTGTCATTCTTTTCCTTCACATGTATCTTTCATTAACATACTCTATTATTATCCTATACATACAACCCCTATTCTTTCTCACCTATTATTGGAAATTTAGTTTTAATATACAAATACAAATTAAGAAATGTAATTCATATTTTTATTTTTATGGAATTATTATTATCTTTCATAAGTATTGTAAACTTTTTTATATCATGTTCGATTTCAATGAATTAAAAGATATTAAGTAAAATTTTCTTTACTTATTTATTTTCTTATCCTATGATAAATAGTAAAAAAAATATATATAATCGAGATAATGAAAAAGGTTAATTTAACCTAATTTTTTCACTGTTGACCACACAAGTTCAATAATATTTTAAAATATTCTTACATTAATAAAAACATTGTAAAAGCACCTCACTTTTAGTCAATCATCCATTTGATATCTATTTTCATTATTTGACAAAGTTCTAGGTGTCCCAGTTCAAAGAAGAAAACATATAAAAAAGAAAAGAAAATAAAAAATTAATCATATAATTTAGTCATGATATATGTAAAAAAAATAAAATTAATTTAGTTAAATGTACATAAAAAAATTTATTAAATCAGTTATATATATATAT